TCGTAGCCGCGCCTCTCTGCCGCTGCCTTCGACATGTGCGACTGCATCCAGCTGACCTTCACTAAATTAGCTCCGACGTCGTCTATCCTGTTCCAGATCTGTCGCCAGAGCTCTGCGTAGCACTTGTTGCTTTTCTCCGCCCCCCCCCCCCCTTCCCGCCTTCCACCCATCATACACCATTTTACAATCGGCAATCACGTGGACCGGGGGGCCCATCAACAGTAAGGCCATGTAGAAAGCGCACAGCTCGCTGGACGGAACGTCCTGAACTGGGAGGGGACTTGGCCCGTAGGCCACTGCTTCAGTCTGCATAGCTGTGCATATCGAGACCAGAGACCAGCCTGCGCGCATCAGCCAGCGGATGTCGCCGTCGTAGGCCGAGCCGTCGATGTAGACTGCGTCTCCTAAAACTCCACTGACGGGCTGGACCGCCCACTTATAGCTCGAGCCTTGCAGGATCGCGGGGAACTGGGCACGCATGAAGTCTACTAGGCATCTAGTCCACCTTATATCTGGCCCCTGAAGAGCCCGAGCAGCAGCTCCTAGCCTACTGTGGCCATGATTCCCCCGAAGCACATTGGACCCATCACATCCCCAGATCCTGTGATACACTGCACCTGGTTCTTGCAGGCACCACTGGCACCTATCATCAATCACGAACCTCTTTCTGAACACGTCACGTTGCGTCCAGAGCCCTCCAGAAACCTGAGCGATAAGAAGACTGACCCCGAGATGATCTCCAAGACCTCTTAATCTGGCAAGTTCAGCTCGCAGAGGCTCCACATAGGGTTCCCATGAGACATCGTAGTAGGATCCAGCTCGCAGGCGCAGCAACCTCCTGGTCGCTTCATCCGCTAGGGCTTGCACAGTCCTAGGCCCTATCTCCTTGACCCTGATGGCCACACCGTCGGCGTTGACCCAGACCTCCCAGGCGAGAGCCTGCCATTCCAGTCTCTGAAGGGCGAGGACCACCGCTCCAGCTGGGCCTAGGACTGTCCTCCACCCTTGGTTCCTAATCTTGACGGCATAGTCGAAGGCGCGCGGCATCTGGGCGTCGGACGCCCACGATTCAAACACAGCTCTGACCCACAGCTGCAGCGGCAAAGAGTTGGCGAGGAACATCGGATCTAACTTCCCCACCTCAACCAACAAAAACTGGCTACTGCGGCTGCGGCCCTTGACAGGCCAAGACAGCGCTGCCCCCGTGGAAGCTCTCTGGTGCTCTAGCTGCGCGTCACCGAGGCCCGCGACCGAGACGCCGTACATCACAGATGGCGCGGGCCCTCCCCGATAAACATTTTGCAGTGGCTTCCTCGAGAACCTGAACGCCCTGTACCTCCTGGCCCTTCCCCTCGTTGTCGACAGACGTTTTTTGGTCACATTTCTCCCTTTACCACTCCTGAGCTTGAAATCGACCCCCAGGTTTTTAGTCGCAAGAACTTGCCGAAAACCGAACTCCTTGAGCCGTCGGCACAAACTCCTTCCCAACATCAAGTCCGATGCCACGAGAAGCGACCTCTTGCGAGATACCTTCAGCTCGGGTTGCCCGAGTGAAGTGCAAACGAACAACGTGCAACTAACCAACTGCTGCTTCGCATGCTTCTGACTGCCGACTGCCTGCAAACTCGAGTCATCGACCAGTAAAGCTAGCCCAATCCTCGGCCACCTCGCAGCCGCCTCGTCAAAAACATCTAAAAGGACCACCTTGAGCAAGGTGGTGGCGCACGAGCAGCCCGCCACGATCGCGGCGTTCAATTCAAACGGCTGTGAGACGGCCTCACCGACCTTGATCACTCTCTTGCCTGAGTACACCAACAGAAGGAACCTCACCCTCCTCAGACTGAACCATGTGTCTTGCAAGCCTCGATTTGCTGTTCATGCGTGATCTTCTCGTAGGCCTTCTCTAAATCTATCACAGTGCACCCGCTGAAAAACTTGCTGGCTCGAGCGGCCTCGTTCATCAGGGCCTGCTTCCAGATCGCCATCTCACAGCCCCCCCCCCTTTCCCCCACACATGTACTGCCGAGGACGTTGGGACCCCCATTGTCCCGCCCCCCCGCGCCTCAATCCGCTAAACAACCGAATAGGGGCCGCAATGATGCCAATCGGCCGTCGACCTCCTTCAGGCTTCTGCAAGAACGGCAGAATGAGCAGCGCAATCTGCCCTGGCAGCACTGCGCACGCGTCTCATAAGTACACCAGGACACTGAGAGCAAGCAAACCTGAGTTACAAAGCTGCTTCAAAGCGTGCGGGGACCAATTGCACACGCCGGCCGCCGCGTGCTCCTTGAACTTCCCCAAGACAGACCTGATTCGACCAGGCTCCAGGGGTGGCTTCGGGCCCTCCAGAGTGAGCCCTGCGAGCATCTTGGGGTTGAGCTCGGGGACCTCCTAGCCTCCAGATCTTCTTCCACTCCTCCCCCGGGGCCTCCACCTGACCCTTGCATCCTCCATGGGGCCCCTGAGAAGACTAAGTCCGAGGGGATCCACTCGTTGGGCTGCTTCGTCCATCCGCGGGCCTTCCCCCCTCCATTTTCCAGCGCCGAA